TATGTGTGTGTAGCGTAGGCTTTGTATCTAGCCAGCTCTTCAGCAAGAAGGCAACAGATTGTTTCTAGCTATTTTGACTGCTTAATTCATTTTTTCCCCTTTTGTTTTTGTCCTGTGGCTGTTTTGACAGATTAGAAGACTTGGTAAAAATATTTCTTATTCTTAGAGAGGTTAACCGTCTGGTGAGATCCATCCAAATACCCTCCGGAGTATAACAGTTTTATGACCCACCACTACGTGGTGGACAACCTTTTCCTTTTTCTTCCTCTATAACCTATGTCATCTGGCAGACTACATGCTGGACAGATTTCATGTGCCTTTCCACAGCGCATAGCATGCGTGTCTGGATAATGTAGTCTCGGAAAATTGTTCAATTTCAGTTTAGTAAAGAGTGAGGTCTAATAACCCTGGAAGGATTCCTATGTGAAAGTGGCTACTTTTCTTATTGTCAGGCGCTTGGAGCTGTGAATTCTATGATAAAGATGTCCAGAGTCTCAAAGGAAACAGAAGTGAAGAACATGCAGGGAAACTGTTCGACATATGTGACAATGTTACATCTTGGGGCAGATAGAGCTGTCTTCACTTCTGACTTGTTCTGAAAAACACACCAATCCTTTTATTTTTTTTTTTCTTTGTAAGTTTTTAATTTCTTACTAACATGACTGATGATGTTGTGGGATGCCTAATCCCTTCACTACTAGACCAGTAAAATGTTCAGAGCCACAGCTAGCACATTTCTATTTAATACCTCTTATTTTAGGTCCAGAAATCTCTCCACAATTCCATGTGCACCTTCCTTAGATATAAGAGAATCAAGCTGATCAGCAACACAGAAGTCTGTGATACCAAAAACAGATACCACTGCTTGCTTTCATCATAAAAATATATTATCCTATTCTTATAGATAGCAACAAATTATCTTCTTTCTTTTTATCACATGTACAGAGCTGTCCTCTCTAACTTTTTTTAATTATATTAACAGTTGCTGCATATTGTCATATCATCTTGGTACTTTTTTTATTTTATTAGCCTAAATGTATTATTTTTAGTATGCATTAGTACTTAATTTGCCCAGAAACGCTTTTGAATATCTAACTAGAGATAAAGTTCAGGAAGAGCGATGATGTGTGAATTTACAGTCAGCTGCTTTGAGAGGAAACAGAGGAATAGTGTGAAAAGACAGGTTTCTTTTTTATGAAAGAAACTAAGATGCATCAGTCCTATGAAAATATCTTTGATCAAGCTAGCTCAAAATATGAAATTACGGGACTACTTGTGAAGGATTTGTCTGAAAAAAAATTCAATTAAATGCTATTTTAAGATTTACATGTAATTCCCCTGCCTAGAAAGTAACAATATATAAATGTGTAGCAGTTTATTGTTTTAATGTCATGAGAAACATACCTGAAAGTATGACACTGCACGAATGTGTATCTGCAAAAGATCATTGAAAAATACCTATGTAATCATACAAATCCTTGTGAGACTGTTAAAATTTGGTACTGAAAACACACGAAGATGAATGATCATTAAAAAATTCAGCACAACATCCTTAGCTGCCCTTTCCTGTGCTCAGGAAAGGGTAGCCCTGAACTATCCTTCCTTTCTCTGGTCACTGGACTGCAATGGGAAGATTTGAATGCTGAGCTTGGCCACACCAGGTACACCTGCTCTGTAAGGATTGCTTCTCCAAGGAGTGGCTGGGGAGGGCTGTGTTTTCAACCCTGGCTAAACACATCTCTGCAGTGTAGGAAGGAGCATCAGACAGAGGATTTCTGTCAAGCAGCAAGATCCCTTGCTCCTGTCATACAGCAGCCTGGGCATTGAAAGAAGTAGTACAACAGATGGCAGGATGACTCGATTCTTTGTCAAGGTAAGAGCTTTGATTTGAGAAGGAACTTTGTTATCCTCAAGCCTAACTTCTGCAGAACCTGAAGGATTTATGAAGAATTACCACCACTTACACAGCTTCAGTACCCTGCATTAGCTCTGGTCCTGATGAATGACTTTTAGTCACAATGTTCTTCCAGAATTACATGGAGAAAGTGATCTTCTCTATACAGATGTTTCTCAATGCTAACCTCTCTTCAAAATCCTTCGTTTCCTAGCCTGTGTGCAGAATCCAGAATGTATGGGCAGCTGTGTATAAAAGACTAACTAACCATGCTTTCTGTGGAAGGGGAAGGTGACGACAGAGGAACACACATTTCATGTTCAAATGTTGTGATATAGGCAGTCTGAGCTAGAGAAAGGAAAGAGCAAAATACATAGCTCTGAATGAAATTCCCAGCTCATATTGCTGGTTAAAAAGCTAAGTGGAAACAGAGACATAAGGAATAAATGCAGGAGAAAAAAATCAACAAATGAAAAACTTTATACCAGGCAACAAATTAGATGAAGTCCAAGGAGAGACACCTGGAGTTAGGCTCATGTCAGTTTGGGAAGCATAAAGGAATTCACCATGTCTCATCTAGAAGGTCAGTTACTCTTCATAAGAACATAGAGGCTGAGAACCATGGCCACTACATGTCTGGTACACATTTGGAGTTAAGAAGAGATCATTTTGCCCAGTGTATCTTTTAAGTTCATTCTTGACAAAAACTTGTATAGCAAATCCAAAGAAGAACAGGCATGTTCTTCTTAAAATATTGATGTATTTTATCTGTGGAAAAACCTTGAGAAAATTCATACATAGTTTGGCCAAGTGGTTATCAGGAAAACACAATTATGTGAAAGTTTGAATGATGTAATCTAGAAAAAAAGGGAGAGGAACAAACGGACATATTGTCTGAGATGGCTATATTACATATAAGAAGAGTCAAACAAAAGAGAATGTAAATCCTAATACCAGAGGAAGTAATTGCAATCACAACAACAAAAACAAAAAAGGTAAAAGTTACATTTCTCAAGTAATTTCAACTCCACCACATAAATCACCTTATAAAGCCTTGAAGTGGGGAAGCCAAAGCCTGGCAAGGAGATACATTACTTCACCTTGTTGATCTTTTACATTTTCCTATGTCTAGCACCCAATCTTACAGCAACCAACAGCCAACTACAAATAGGAAAACAAGAGCCAGTGTCACCTGTGAACCATCTGTTATGTGTACCACAAAACCATCTTGTATAATTTGTGTTAGGTGTAACATTCTAATTTTTCTGCTATGCACGTACTGATCATTCTTTCTTTCATATCTTTATCTTGGCTTTTTCTAATCTTCTTCTTGTGATTGTCTTAGTTAGAGCAGCTGGCACCAGTTCATCACTGTGTGGGTGTAACCCAAACTGTGTATTCTACACCCTTATGTCATTTCCCAGGAAGTGTTAACAATAGACCATTTGCAGCAGCTGTCCAGAGCACACCTGACCTCTCAGGCTATAAGCCGGGTGTTAAGAAGCCTATGAGATAGGAGGATGTTCCTATCCTAATATCAATGACTCAGGTGTGATAACTCCCCTCTGGGGAGTCATTAGCACCTCCACACCCAGACTGAGGGGTCATGCCTGCTAATGGACCACCAAGGATTCCAAAAATATCTCACGACTCACAATCACCCATTGTGGAACTCCCCGCCCCTGAGGGAGGTACTGGGCATTCCCACTCAAACCTGAGTGTATATAGTCTTGGGACTTCTGACCCCACTCATCGGATCCAGAGGAGGACGAGAACCTCAACTGGACTGCAATCACCATCCTCAACCAGACTGTAACCAGCACTCGCACCAACAGGCTTTCCTCCTCTTTTACTTTGGACTTAGGAGGACCTTGAGGGGCTCAGCCCAGAGGCCAATGAACACCATTCTGTTTGTGCCCCAGAGTGCTGGGTTATACATCTGGGTTTTGTGGGTTAAAACCAATTGTTTGCCCGTATAATTGTATTTATTGTATTATTGTTATTAAATTGTAACTCTGACTTATAATCTCTTTTGAGTTGAGTTCATTTCTCCTGCCAGTTCACCTTTAAACCAGCACAGTGATCTTCTTTCTTTTAAATAGAAACTGAATTAAAAGGGTCTATTGTTCAGCTTAAGAACTATAACTTTTGGTTTTAGGATAAGAAAATACGCCAAAAAAGCAAGGCATTGCCCACTTAGTAGAGTTTGAAAACATGCATATTTTAAAGGATATTTAAATAAAAAAATAAAACAATCTTTCATGAGCCATGGTATAACTTCCAGGAGTCCAAGTTACCCTTATCTCACCTTTTGTGAGATTCTCCCTGGGCTATTTCATGCTTTTTCTGGACCTGGATTGTCTCTCTATTCTTGCCCTATTTGCAGTGTTGTAATTGTCTCCATTCGTCACCTTTTAACACCTGGTTTCCATTTCATCGTTTCAAATTACTTCCACTTAGAACCAGTGTGGAAGGAATCTAGTTAAGACAAATGTCTTCCCCATTCTTTTTTCTGGATAGTGCCTGACCAATTGTCATAACCACTGAAATAACTGACTCATCTTTCAGACCACAGAATGCGATCTCAGAACAAAAAGATCTTCACTTCTGTTTACTTCTTTCTTTTGCCTCTACTGTTATTATACTTTCCCATAGTGCTTCTATTCAGCAGAAAGAAAAAAAAGTGTCCATAACAATATCCTTTTTTGGAATTCCTGTACTTCCTTCATATGGCCAATTTATAAGAAAATTGAAAGTGCAGCCAAAAAGATCTGCCTTCAGATTTCATACATGGCCTATTATTTCTATCTTGCAGCAGCTCTGCATATTTTTTTTAGTCTGTCATATAAAATAAGTTGTAATAAATAGCTCCCACTGTGACTGCTGGTGTTAGCACGTTGAAGGGAGTAGTGCACGTACCACAGTGTTAACCACAGTGAGTACTGTGGTTGATAATGGTAGTACTTGGAAAGATGAATCACCAGCAGTGAAAGCAGTTCACATACACACACACACACACAAAATCCCAACCCAAAACAAAACCAAAAGGAACTCGCTCCACCAGAAAGAACATCCAGGGAAAGAGAGAGGAGTGTAACTGGGAACATATGCTTTGTAACATACTTTAATATGAATACATTGCTCACAGTATGGACTTGCCCTTATGAACCATGATCTGAAAATACTTTATTAAATAACGTGATACTTGGATTTTTCAATGAAAATTTATGGTTCTGTTAATTTTTCTCACTGCTTCAAATGGTGGTTTACACCCTCCTGTAAAATAGGTTTTCACACATCAGAAGCTCTTATGAAGCTTTGCGGGGTTCTGCATTTCACATTCTCTTAACCCTTGCCCCACTAGAATAAATGATTGCCTGGGTAAGGATTATCTTTATTTGTGCTTTCCTACTATCTACTGTTCTGGACACCCAAACTCTGTGCGTACCTTCATGTGAATGCTTCACACAAATCATGTCCATCACCCCACACTGACAGCAAACGCAAGAAACACACCACCATAATGCACAGGACAGAACAAAACAGAACAGTGCTTCAGGACAGGAATGATTCCCTTGAACTGCTTCCCACCCTATGTGAAGGAAAAGAGGGTGAATTTTAAGTCTTTTCTTCTTGCCAAGGAGAGATTGAGATAAGCTAGCTGCTACACCATCAAGTATTGCATAGGAAGATAGAGGGAGACTTTGCCAATGGGCTGGCTAGCTCACTGCATTTTAAGAGCTTTATGAATTGTTAAAAAGCTCTTCCCCTCAGAATGACTCCAGGTGAACAGCACACAGTGCTGGCAGCAGCATTTGACCCTCTTATTTCGGTATTCTAGTTCAGTACAAGATGGGCCTGGGAAAGAAGGAACAAGCACAATGGCTTTTGAGGAAGAAGTTGCCTTCTTTTTAACTTTGTAAGGGTCAAGGCTCAAAAAACCAGAGGGCCAGTCCACAACCATTCTCTCAATCAGCCAGCCAGCTGGGAAATACTACTGTTCTTCAGAAGGAAAGGGCTCAGTTACTACAGTGGTCCTTTTGCTACTTCCTTAATTTTCACATCTTCTATGAAGAATAAGTTATGGACTATATTAACTAGAGACAAGTTTATTTTTTCCTAAGCTCCAGCATAATGATACAACTGATACCTGTCAATCAACTTCTGCCTCAATAGCAGAGAGCAACTCCAATCCTTGCATTAATTTGGAAAATGGTAGATAGGAAGAGATAGAAATCAAAATAAATACTACAGCCTGATGTTTAAAGCTGTTCTCTTAAGAACACCCAATGTAAGAGCACCTGGAGTACCTTAAATTTCACAAGGATGCACGGGCGTTCTGAGAGGGGAAAATATGTTCACATTTTAAACACTGTGCATGTCTGAGTTAAACAAATCAGAACTACCTACAAATGAACAATACAGTTTTCCCCTTGGTAGACTATACCACTGTTTCCTTAAATATTAAGAGTCATAGTGTGTTCACTATCAGCCAGGCACCTACCCTGTCACTGTACATTCACATTAAAAAACCTTCTTTCCAGTGCGCGTTACTCATAAACGTGTGAATCAGACTGACTCTCTGCCCCTTTATGTTCTAAGGTGAATTAGGAAAGGGTCTGTTATAGGATGATACAGGCCATTCTTTTGTGATGGTCTGCAGCTTTCTCTCCCAATACATTTTCTTTTTATTTAGCACTTCCATTTTTATCCTGTGTTCTTCTTCAGCCATCTCACATTCTCTTTCTATTTGCTGTATTTTTGCCACATGAACTTCATTCATCTGGATTAACTGCAGTTGCAAAATTGACATTTGCTGATGATGTTCTTCCTCATGCATTTTTTTCAGAGCACTTTCCTGAGATGCTTTACTTCTGTAGTTCTTATCTGCTGCTATTCTGACATCAGAACACGAAGGCTCAGGTTGGGAGGTACCTTCACATACTGGAAAATGTACCAGCTCTTTGTCTTCATCACAAAGTTCTCTGTTTGAGACAACAAATGATTCTGCAAAACAAAAGAAGAAAAAGTATTACAGTATTCCCTTCCCCTCCCTCAAGAAACACAAATGTGATAAGTTATTGATACATGCATCTAAACCTTGTGCTTCTGTACCAAAGTACAGGAGCCAATACCTAATGCAGTTCTGTTACAGAATACTAAGAGTTTAATGGTCTGAACCGAACTACTCTGGGCTCTGTTGTTACACTTCCATGGTTATAATGGGAGCTCAGAATACTAAAGTGAATACAGACATTTATAAGTGGATACCTAAATTTATGTGGCTGAGTCCGGAGCTAAACCTTAATGCAGCTGTTTAAGCTAAATCCATATGTGACTTGCAATACTTTTACGAAAGATCTCAGTGTCAGGTGAAGAGCTGTAGCAACATGAATATCAAAAGGGTAAGGGAATACTAGGAAGAATACCTCTTATTCCTTTCATATCACTACTGTAGGTGTTGTAAACACAGTAGTGCACATTTTTAGGAAAAAAATACATTATTCTAACTTTGAGAAGGCTCTACCAATTCTTCTGAAATAAAAGAGACTACTCATGGAACAGAACAGTTACCACTGCAAATGAGGGTCTCAAAATACATTCCTTTACAAATCCTGATGACTAATTATGGTAAGTACAATTATGAAAGAGACATTCTAAGAATGTTATCTAACAACGTAGCTACTGATGTTTTTTGAGCAAGGACAGTCTCCTGTGTGAGATCCTGACACAATAAAACTTGCAAGAAACCGTTGTAGCCATCCTCCCTTCTGTTTTTGCATGATTCCTTATGTGTATGCTTTCCAAACAAAGAAGAATGTAGTGTTGAACTTTCTCAGAAAGGCCTCTTCCAGGACTGTAATGTGAAATATGGCTCTACATACTCTCTGTAGTCCTTGAAAACAAAAGAGGAAAGACCTACAGGGAACTCTTGTAGCAGACAATTTTGTATCAATTTTCTGCTGGTGGATTTGTTTGTTTGTTTGTTTTAACCAGCAAAATTATACTTTATAAAGAATACGAATATCCTTGGGACTCTTCTCTGGAAAGCCAGCATGATAGCTACTGTGATGCTTGCTACAAAGCAGCAGATATGTCAGAAACTGAAGAAAAAAATTTGTGAAAACCCTCAGTTTAACTCCCGGAGGCCTAGGGTAACACACAAAGTCTTGTAATATCATAGCTGTGAAATTACTTTTCTATAACCAGCAGTCTCAGCTAGGTAGAGAGATTTAGACGGCTGAAAGAGAATCACTGGCAAAATCACATACAAAACAATACTACTTGCATCATTACAGTAACATTTATACCTTGACTAGAAGCATCAGGCTGATATTCAGAATCTTCTTCTGGTGGGCTCTGCAAGAAGTACATTTGCTCAGGCATTATGCTGGCAATCTTCTCTTTCCCTACGATGTGAGTATTTATAAGCGGACTAATACTTCTTTTTACCTTCTCCCGCCTTTCATGTGCCATTATCTTTTTTGTCCGTGCCTTGATATTTTCCCAGCATTTCTTTAACTGTTTGAAGTCTCGCAGTGATACACTGGGCTGTGAATTATATTCATGAGCTAGCGCTTGCCAGGTACGTTGTTTCAGAGCAATAGTTCTCGCATCACTTTTTTTACATTCAAGCACATATTTGTATTTTTCAACTAACGCAAGCAGCACACTCTTCTCCACTTCCGAGAAGTATTTAGCAGGCTTTATTATTTCGTTTTGCATTTTCTACTGTTTCTCCAAGAAGCCAAAATTCCTATGAAAACAATGTTGAAAGGAAAAAGAAAAACAAAAAACAAACACAAATTAGAAATAGTTACAGCATCAGGAAACCATGTTTCAGCAAATAAATTCTCAGCATAGCCTCTGGTTCATTTTAATAGAATAGTTTGTGAGTAGTTCTAGAGCACATAATGGAACAATCGGGTAATATATAGTATAATTCCATGCTGTTTTGTGTTGCCACTTTAGTTCCAGAAGTAGACCACGGGAGGTCTTTGTTACAATTTGTCTTGATACAAAATACTTGCTATTCAATTTACTTAGCGACTTGTTTTCAATATCTTATTTTCCTGTTTATTGCCCTTTTTTACACTCAAAGAGTTTTCAAAGCCCTGAACTGTGCAACAAGTTCTGAAATACAGCCCTTGATAACTCTGGGTTTAAGTCTTCATGAGGTTTGGTTTTTCTTTGGTACACGAAAGAGCCTCTTCTGCCCTTGCTGACTGTATATTTCTAATTACCCCCCTCTCTCTACATTATTTGAAAGTTGTATGAGAAATGATACTAAGAAGTTTTCTTTTTAAAGACCTGTCAGCTTGGTTCTCCCCTGAGCTCTGCCCTCCTTGTCTGACACCCAACAAGGCAACAGGATTCTGACCTTATTACAATAGTGAGGAGAGGCAAGGGTTGCAAGAAGACACAAAGAAATTATGGAGACTAAGTGCTTGGAAGGTACAGGTCCTTCACCTTTTACTGCTGAGCCTGCCTGTGTGGCATTTCTTTTTGTCTGCCCTGCTCGTCACTCTTGGGAGCGAACAGCCAGGCTAAAAAGTTTTGGCTTCTCTCAGTACAGATACTGCTACACACTTATATCACATCAACAACTGCCTCTTCTCAAGCCTAGGACCTGCATGGTCAATAGGAAAAGGGTAGCTGATACCAGGGAATTCTGACGTTAAAAAAAAGGAAGAAAACAGTGTTGCCTTGAATTATCAACATGTGACTATGCTGCAAAATGTATTTTTTTATCTTTTCACACTCTTCCCTCTATTTGTTTTCACTATAACTGTGTAGCCCAAATTACTTTTATATTTTGGGCAGAAACTTCTGGATAATTAAGTAGGAAAAGGACAGCAATGCTGCCTTAGTTCACATTTCTTCTGATTTTAATCATAAAACTCAAAGATAGAACATATATAAGATAATTAGGTCACATTCCTAACAGTCTAGGACTCTCCTAAAACGAATTTTCTGCTATTTTGCCCATTGTTTCACTGCTTGACCCTTAGATGAGCTCAGTTGGTTAGAGAATGCTGCTAATAATATCAAGGTCATGGGTTTGATCCATGTACAGGCCATTCACTCAATATTTGGACCCAGTGATCCTTGTGGGTTCTTTTCAACTCAGAATGTTCTGTGATTCTGTGATACTTCTCTCATAAAATTACTTGATGATGCACTAGATATCACCATCATGTTTCCTCTTTTCCAAGTATTTTTCCTTAACTCCACTGACTAGGACTTTCTTTGTGCCATTCTTGTAATCCCTTTCCTCCAAACATCTCAATATTTATAGTTATTCTCACCTCATTCAGTAAAGGTAACTACTTATATTTATAAAGAAACCTAACAGACAAGCTAATGTCAAAATGAGAACGAGTGACATAAAAACAGCAGCTTTCTCAAGTAGCCCATAAAATATGACAAAACCCAGCTGTCCCGGTTTCATCTGGGACAGTGTTCATTTTCTTCTTAGTCACTAGTACAGTGCTGTGTTTTGAATTTAGTTTGTGAATAATGCTGATAACACATTGATCCTTCAGTTGATGCTCAGTGGTGCTTACTCTAAGTCAAGGACTTTTCAGTGTCCCATGCTCTGGTAGTGAGCAGGAGCACAAGAGGCTGTGAGGAAGCACAGCTAGGAGAGCTGACCTGAACTGGTCAAAGGGATAACTCCATACCATAAAATGTCATGTTCAGTGTATAAATGAGGAGGGAGTTGGCTGGGATCTGCCCATTGCTGCTCTGGGACAGGCTAGGTATCAGTCACCAGGTGGTGGGCAACTGTATTGCGCCTCACTTGTTTCTCCTGAGTTTTGTTCCTCTCTCTCTCTTCTTTTCATTACAAGTATTATTATATTTTACATTGTTTCAATCATTAAACTGTTCTTATCTCAACCCACAAGTTTTACTTTTTATTCTAATTCTCCTCCTTACCCCACTTGGGAGCAAGGAGTGAGCAAGCAGCTGCTGGTTGGGGTTAAACAAACCACCAGCAAAACAAAGAGGAGTCAAAAGAATAGAGGAGGTAGTAGAACAAGCCTGGAATAGCAAAACTGAAACAAAGTGAATAGAAATAAGTAACAGCCTAAGTCTAAGTTAAGTCAGTGTTTAAGTTGTAGCCCTACTGAAAAAGGCAATAAACACTTGGTTTGTACTTTCTGTCACTGCTCTACCAGGTAATTGCTGAGCACGTACTGACTGGACAGGTAGCACCTATATAGTCACTGGCTAGTCACAGTTCTGCTCTCTCTTATCAAATGATGGTGTCATGGGGACATGGGAGAGCTGGAGTTTTTGCAGTAGACAGGATTTAGGGGACTAAGGGAAAGCTCTGTAGGAAACCAGACTTTAATAGTGCTACTGCTCACAGAACACAGCTCACAGCTTGTTTATTTTACATGAAAGAAAAAGGTGCAAGAAAGAAGAGAGCTGGGTGGATGAACCTAAGGAAGACAGTTTCCTGATTCAGTATTTCCTCCATCATGCTATATCAAGTTATTTTTTTTACAGTCTGTGAAAATTTAAGTCACCCCATGTGTTGGTGACAGGAATTCTTAAAAAGCTATAATCTCACAGAAAAAACTAAGCACAAGCAAAGAAACTTCTTTCATCACATACATACATTGCATAGATATTATAATGTCTAGGTCTACTAGAAGAGAACAGCTACTTCAGAAGTTCCTTAAATAAAACATAAATTAAGAAAAGAGAAAAAGAAATAAAGTCAGGAAGTTGACATCCTAACAAATATACTGAAAACTGGCAACTTTGCTCCATGAAACAACTCTGAAAGCATATAAAATAAAATAGACTATAATGGGATAGACTCTACCTACTGATCTATTTTACTTACATAGCTATTGTACCATTCCAAACCATTAAGCTGCTTTGGACAGCTGCTAAAACAAAATTCTTGGGACTAAATATTAGGGCTCTCTCTTAGCCTCAATTCTACCAAAGAATGGGATGAAATGCAGTCCCACCAGCAACTCGTAAGATCCAATACCTTATGACCCTTGAAAAACCCAAATCAGAGACCGCATGTGACCAGAAATGGCTGATTCTACCTTCTGCTGATGCATGTAAATCTTATTTCTAGCTTTGAAAAGGTGTGAGAATCTCAGACAAAAAAATCATTACATGTTTGTGTGTAGAAAATTCCTTTAATTAGAGACACTGGATACTTCAGAAACTAAGTTCAAAAAGTTAAACAATGTTACAAGGACTTCTGGATTCCAGGTGCTAAGTATCTAGCTACATAGGTTGGCAGACACAACTGATGTCAGTAAATATCTAAAACATTTCCAAATATGACTTCATATATATTAGCAAATTACGTACTAGAATAAAAGCTCATTTTTCATGGATGGACTCACAGCAAACTTAAGTATCACTTTCATACCACACTATCATTTATTTCTATTATTTTTACTGTGGTAGCACCTGAGATCCCCAGTCATAAGTTGAAAACATAGGTCCTACACTGAGAAGAATATATTAGTCTTCTCTTCCCCTAATCACATTCCTAGTATTTTTTTCCTACACATACACACTGTAACTGTGTCCCTTCTGTGAAGAAGCCAGGATTATGATCTAGGATGCATAAAAGAACCCAAGAATTGGTGTGAGCAGTTTTATGCACTTACTACACAGAAGAGTTCTTGAAGATTCTTCTCAAGCTTTTACACGCTTAGCATGCTTGCTTCAATATTACAGCCCATTTGCAATTAGGTGAACAGAAAGTACTCTGAGATGTCAGAGAACTTAGTATGCTGGGACATTGCATCAAAACACCACCATATATTTATATTCACCTCCTTTTCTTTATGCATATTAATCACCTTCTGGCAGCTCACTGACTCCTCTGCAGAATACGAGAAAGGACTCTCACAAGCCCACAGAATTTCCATTTCAAGGCTAAGAGAGCCTTCCAGGACATATGCCCAGGATATAATTTAGTAACTAGGAATCTGTGTTGAAATGAAAGTAGTTTACGGTGTAGAACTCATCCAGTAAACAGGATTGATTTATGTGGGTGCCTGAGGACAGCTGCAGAGTAAATTCTAAGAAACAAAGAATGGAAAGCTTCTCCCACTCTTACAGGTGCCTAGCCTCCAAGACACTTGCAGTAAGGAAGCACTTTATCCTATTTATCTTCCCCTGGCATGACTCAATTCACAACTTGCCTTAAAAGAAATCAGTGTTCTAAGTACTTGTCCTCTCACACAAACCTTTATAGCTTTAAGATAACAGAAATATCTCTCAGCTCCTCATCTTTACTTTGAAAGCACTTTGTGCTGCTTTCTTTTAAAGACTATAAGGTGTGTGCTGTGATCCGCTGGAAGAATATCTTAAAAAAAAAATTACACAAGTTAAGAAGTGCACACATGTTCATAAGTATGTTATATATATGTATTATTTTGCTTGCACACACCTAAACAGACACCCAAACTCCAATCAGTTGCAAAGAAGCCCTTCAGGTTGGCATGTATGAGCAGCATCTTCGGTCCATCAAATATTTCTTTTAGGCATAAGAAAATGCAGAGAGAATGTTATGGTGGAAGACTTAACCGAAATGTTAAGGTTACACTAACCAAACCCAAAGAAAATAGCAAACTGTGGTCACACTGTGAGAATTAATTACATGTACCAATGCCAACAGAATTACTACCACAAATAGTCAAGAACTGAAAAAAAGAAAATTTATGTATCCAACTTAAATTGCAGGTAAAGCTTCAAGCATAGTCACTAATTAACAGTATTTGAAATCTATTATAATTCTGTCCTTTTCATCCAGTGTTTGAGGATGAAAGAAAGGCACTGGAACGACCCACACTAGCCACAACAGGTCTATATTTCATTTGAATAACAGAACCAGCAGTAAACAATGTTCTTCAAATGTTAGGTTTTCCTCACTGAGCTTCCATTAATGTTCCAGGCCTGACCCTGTCTACCTTGAGACTTGAAATCACTAGTTAACTAAGTGTATATTCCAAATATGAATCAGCTCTATAAGGAAATTGTGTTTTAATCAGATTAAAAAAATCCCACCTCTTTGAGTGCGTCGTCCCCCCCAACGTTTTAATACAAACGAAGAGTTATCATGGATCATCCAGCAAATGAGCAAAACAATCTATTAGTAAAAATTCACAGTACTTTGCCTAAATTTCTCCTGTCGAATTTTATATACTAATACACGGAAATGTATTTTAAAAAATATAGAATATTAGACTATATATACACAGAGATACATTTCAAGCGGGTCATCCCGCTACCTATGGAGGACATCCAAAGCACTTTGTGCACGCAAGGTAATGGATGCAGGTTGTTATTCCGAACGACTGCCTGAAATCCACCAAAAATAGCCATAATACATGAATCCTACCAGACTCTCCCGCACCCGAACTTCTCAAACATTAACTCGAGCCTTGTGTGTTTTTGGGGTTTTTTTTTTTATCTCCACGCTAGCTCCTCTTCTGCTGGAAGGAGAAAGGAGAGCAGGTCCCGGCTCCACAAAGGCGGCCGCTCCACCCTGGGCGGGCGCGGAGGCTGCGGCGGGATCCGGGCGCATCCGCGGCGGGGGCGGCGGGCGCTGCTGTCACCCCCGCGCCCGCGGGGACCGGCGCCGGCGGCGGGGAACACCCCACCCTGCGGCCCCGCTAGCTCCCTCCGCCTAACAAAGCGCCTCTCCCGGCTCCCTCCCTCCCTCCGTCCCCTCCTTCCCCGCCTCCCTCACCTCCCCGCCCGCAGGTCGACGCCACCGCTCCCTCCAGCTCCCCGCAAACCCCGCGCTGGATTCCCGCCCCGCCGCAGCGCGGGTGGCGCGGCACTGGCCTGTCCCGCGGGACCCGCCGCCTCTCCCGCACGGGGGGACACATCTCGGGGGACCCCGAGCCTGCAGGTGAGGCGGGTGCGGGGTGTGCGCGTCCGTGCGTTCGTGTGTGTGTTGTGGGGAGCGGCGTGCGAACACCCAGCGGCCGCCGGGAAGCGGGCGGGCAGCCCCGCCTGCACCGGGCGCGGGCGGAGCTCCCGGGACGCACGTCCCTAGTGCGGCGTCCCCCTATCTCGCATCCCCGTCTCCATCGCGCACCCTCATCCCGCTCCGCTCCCGCTCCGGGGGCGCGGGATGGGTTCCCCGCCCCGGTGCGGCGGCCGCGGACCCAGCTCGGGCTTTACCTCCGACAGCGCCCGGCGCTGCGACGCTGGGCCTGCGCGGCAGCGCCCCCAGCGGCGGTCGCGGGCAGCGCGCCGGGGGAGCCGAGGCCGCTCCTCCGCCGCGCCCCGTCCCCGCCCGCCGGCGCGGAGATCCCGGTGCCCGGCGCCCCGCCGAGCCCTGACCTGGCACTGTGGGGCTCCCGCGCCCGACGTGACGCGGCTCCTGCCCGCTGAGAGCCGCGGGAGCGGCGAGGAGTCACCCCCCGGCCGAGCGGCCGGCGGGCAGGAGCCGGTGCGGCGGCGGGGAGCGACGGCTGCCTCGGCTCCTCCGGGTACCGCCCGCTCCCGGGCCGCCGCCGTGAGCTGGGTTTCCCCGGCTCTGTGCGGGAGCAGGTGTCCGTGTCCTCCCCGGCGGGGCTGGAAGTGCCGGCAAAGGACTCCCTCCCGCCTGGCGCCGCTCTTCGCGTAGGGTTTGGAGCTTCGGGACGTCCCTCTGTCCTCTCTTTCTCCTTCCCTCTCTCCTTTCCTCCCTCGCCCCCGCGGCCCGGGTGGGACCGTGCGTCTCTTCCCAAACCCCGCCGTGTTCCCCCTGTGCCAGGAACATGCTCCGGGCGCTCCGTGCTGGCTGCTCCCTCTGTGTGTGTGTCATCTGTCCCAGCCCATACGCGCAGTTCTATCCCAGGAAAGAAGGGGGAAGCTCTAAATGGTCCGGATTAGTTCTGTTTCGTGCGTAATCTTCTGGCGGCTTTTATGTTTCCCGGGGGAAACTTGGAGAACAATTGTTTCTTTCCACGCTGTACTTTTGCTCCCAAGTTAAAAATAGGATCATTAGCCTGGAGATTTAAGGGTAAAGTGTAACTGAAGGCGAGGCACAAATTCCTGAAATAGGCGGAACAAAAATAAAAATGATTTTGTGAAGCTAAAACAATAGTTTGCAATCTTTCTGCAGTTTTCCCAGACTTTTTTTTTATCATCTAAAGACTGAATATGGACCCTGAAACTGAGATAAAGAAGCAAGTAAACCCTTTCTACTGCAATGTAAGTATTCCTTTTTGAAAATTGTAACTAATACAAAATAATTTTGGTGGAACAAAGTTGTACTAAACCAAGTCTGAACGTTTTTGGTTTTTTTTCTCTTGAGCAAAATTGATAAATAGCTCTGGAGTTGAAGTTGTTTTGCTGTCTTTGACTTGGATGTGTGTTAAGAACCAATTTATTAAAATGAATAATTTTAATAATATTGTATTTCTAAATAAGGGCATTCTTTTTAAAGTGGAAGATTAAACTGCAGTTCCTGTTCTGAAAAAAAAAAGTCCTAATTTCTCTGGTTGTCAGATTTATTGCTATTGTTTTTAAGCATCTCGGGTTTTTCAGAGGAGAAGAAAGTAATTTGGACTGCCATTGTTAATTCACATGATTTTAGACCTCGTCTGCTCCCATTCTGAACTGGCCCAGGCATAAACCAGCTGTATGGAAAGCTTCCAGAGTGAGGCAGGCCCCAAACTGATCAGAGTAACTGATGTTAATCTGGATGCAACACTGAGAACTGGCTCATCTGAGACAGGTGTACTGGCTTGTTACAATTATGCTGTGCTTCTGGCTCAGACTTGTTTAAGAGTGTGTGAGGAAGATCTTGGATCTGTCTTTACTTATCCACACACACAGAGAAAATGTTATGAGGTGGCTGCAGAGTTCTGGAGACGTGACATTTTTATGTGATGTGGAGATTCCTGTTCATTCCACTGTCTCGCAGGCTCATAAAGAAAAGTTCTGGGAGGCTGCTTTAGTTTTTAGTATAACTTACTTATACTGACAGTTTGATAGTAGATCTGTTTTGATTTCAGCGGTATTCTATTTCTTTTTGTTTGTGTGCAATGCTGGAAATGCTTCTCTTTGATCTAGATTTGCAAAATCTGGTGTGCTTCTGCATTAAACTTGCAGACTCACTTCCTTGGATTCAAACACAAGACGGTAAGATCAGTTTTTGAATGAACCTTTTTTCAGATTTTACAGATTTATTTAGCAATAGAATATGGATTTGAAATCTAGTTTCTAATGTAGTCGTAAAACATACAGTTTTTACATATTTTACATATTTACATATTTAACTAGTTTTGCTGTTTTGTACATTAGTTCTGTCAGAAAATGTTGTTACAACTTTGTGTCTAGTAAAGACAATACATGAGAATACGTGGCTGTTAATAAATGCAGAATGGATTTACTTGAATAATAGACAATCTCAGAAAAAAGGGCATTTGTCTTTTCCAAATTTCTGTTCACCTGAGATAGTCTATGGTGCTGGTGTTTATCTAACTTATTTTATAAATAATAAAAGCTTTTCATTGTTGTTCTTTGAATCTTAAGTATCTTTCTTCCTTGTTGGTTGATGACTTGGTAACTTAGGTTGAAGAAGCACTGAAAGCTCATGGCATTGGTAAGTGCAAGATTTTTTACTTCCTGCTGTGTTCTATATAGTTATCTTTCTACCTGCCCCAATGTAATTGTTTATGAAACAAACAAGAAAAAGACTTTCTCAAGACTGTGCTTTAAGACCTCTCTTGTGTTCTTTAATGACATAACTGTCTAATGTTCCATAAATCAATCAATAATATGAGCAAGAGGTATGCAAACTTGATTAATAAGTCTAGCTAAAATACTAAAAATCACCTACATTACAGTTTTGAGAAACCTTAAAGAATTCAAGACCTTAGACACCTTCAAGATTTAAAATACATTTTTAAAAACTATGCTTCTTAAAACACATGGAAATGTATATACTTTATTTTTAAAAGAGATTATAAAAATATCTTAGATTATTTTAAATACCATGATTAGTTGAAGCATAGTCCTTTTAATAGGTTTATTATATCATTAAACCTTCCGTGGGTCATTATGAACTGGTCTAGTTCTAGAAGGAATGAAGGTCTAACTATGTTCATGATTGTTTTCCTGCTTCGGTTTCATGATGGACCAAAATGTATTTATAGGTTTCTACAGTGCACTGGTCCTAGAATTTGGCTTGAAAGTCGCTGCCAAGTTATACATAGTCATTGCACCTACCCAACCTGGGAATACTTTTTTGGACTGTAAAGGAAATTTAAGTGATTAAATATTTGGCAGCTGGATGCTGCTGAAATTAATGCCCTGAAATCACTAGATGCCCTGAAATGTTTAGAGACACTGAACTTAATTGGTCTTCCTCTTTGCCTGCTTTGTTGAATTACCTAACACTAAATAACTTTGTTATTGTTTGGTGTGAATGCTT